TTGAGGTGATGAATGAAACATTATTTGCCGACTGTACAAGCTCGGTGTGGTAAAAGGTCATTTTGTGGAGGATATAAACGTCCTAACGATGATTAGAAATGCAATATATTAGTCAGAGATTCCATTTCTTCTTTATAACATATTCCACTAAATTCTGCAGGGTATTGATGGATCTAGAGTTGAAAAAGTTCTGGAGGCTGTTCATATAGCTGCCAATAAAAATACTGTCCCAGGGGATGTCTCTGCCATGGTGCCTGGAGGCATTCGTATGGGTGAGGCCCTTTTTTGGTCATTTTTTAAATATAAATTCTTATATTTGGTTTTTATTACTTATTTATTTATTCAAATATTTTAAAATATCCGATAGGAACTCCGGCTCTTACATCAAGAGGATTCCTCGAAGAAGATTTTGCGAAAGTTGCAGAGTTTTTTGATGAAGCTGTAAAGTTGGCTTTAAAGATAAAGGCCGACGCAAATGGTTCATAATTTTTTTTTTCTTTTTGATTTTTTTTTGGCCACACTCCCTTCAGAATGGCATGCCCATCTATCCTAATGAATAATGATTAGTAACAATAAATTTGATTTCATCTAATCTTTTTACGAAATCATTGATTGCAATTATCAGGAACAAAGCTAAAGGACTTTGTAGCATCTATGGAGTCAGACACTCATCAATCTTCAATGTCAAAGCTTCGCCTTGAGGTTGAGGAATATGCAAAACAATTCCCAACAATTGGTTTTGAAAAGGAGACAATGAAGTACAAGAACTGAAACCCAGCCCGGCCCGGCCTGGTATTCCACGAGGTAAATTGAATCTTTGGGTATGGCTTTAAATCATCGAAAATTTGATTCTGGATATAAATTAACATATGGTTATTTCAATCAAAATTAATCATTACATTTCGTAGTTTTTGTCTGATAGAACCAAAAGTTGGGGGCAAATTGTTTTTCTTCAGTCATGAAATAATGAGAAAACACAAGTTCTTGATCTATACTTGATGCAAGATAACATTACCTTCCAATTATTGATTAAGTCACATTTTACATGGTAAGTAAGTTGCATTTTGTTCAACTCGGTTAATGATTTTTTTTTCAGATTCTACTCGATGCAGGCGCTCGTGCCCTTTCTCTGCGTAAGGAGTTGTAAGTTGTTGCATCTGTAACAACAAACAAGTTAAATCCAATACCAAGTAATAAAACTTGTCCTGTATGTTGTGAGGATTCCCTCTTTTCATTTTTAATTAATCAAGTTGTAAATTAATTCTTTTTGTTATTAACAATCAGCTGCACTTCTTCTTTAAGGTATTCCTTTTAGCTTTATTGAAAGAAAAAAAGAACCATATACAAATTGCTTTATTCATTTTATTATTATTAAACTCGATAAATATGCGGAATACCCCTTTGGAAACACTACTTATCTATGACTGGAATTATCATTGGATTGGAAAATGCTCAGAACAGTTGTAGAATAAAACGTTATTTATTTATTTACGGAAAATTAATGCCAACCTCCTGAGGTAAGGGCAAATTATGAAAAGATCCCTCACGTTTGAGTAATTACAGTCACACCCCTCAACTATGAATTTTCTTACACATTCACCATTTTATCATATTCGAGCTTCACATTTTGAAACAAGTTAATCGCAAGATTTGTTTCTTTGACTTGTAAATATTACATGTGGTGCATCAGAAACTGTTTTTTTACACAACGAGTACAAACTAGAGAATATTGTACGAAATTTAAAAGATTATGTTGAATTTGACAACACAAGAATGTACGTGTAAGAAAAGATTCATAGTTGATTTGATGTGTGGTGGTAATTATCCATAACAAAATGATTTTTTTCATAATTTGATCTTAGTTGAGGGGTTTAATAGTTGAAACTTATTCGTATCGAATCCAAGACCCAAAACAAAGGGTTTTTAACTCTTAAAATAAAAAAGAATTACCCTACGCTGTAATTTAACTAATTAGAAATGTGACACCTTAAACACGGCCGAAGACAGACAGCTGTTCACAACTCTGTAACAGCACACCCCCACTGCATAATCACCGCTGTAAAAAGTAAAACCACCGGCTGAGAGGAGCGGGAGCCCCTCCCCCGCCGCCGTCTCCAACATTCAGGAGAAGCAAATTTGTCAAAAAGGTGGTCGTATATTATTATAATAAACTATTCTCCACTCACCACCACTACATTGAAACTCCATTTTTCCTCAACTACAATTTGATTTTATTGTTTTTTTTTGTTTTTTTTAATTTCTCTCTCTACTTTATACCAAACCTCATCCTCTCGCACTAAACCTCACTTTAAAAATCCCCATACTTCTGATATGCTGTCGTTGCTCTGCGATTTTGTTCTTGCTTCGTCCTCTCATGCCAAAAGGAATCAACTAACTAATTCAAAATTCCAGTAGATAAAGCTTTTCTGTGTTTTTTTTTTTTTTAAAACACAGATAATTTCTGTTTTGATCTGAGGAAGAAATGGTGGGGAAGTAGTTAATAGGTAAGGGTAAATTGAGGAAAAATGGTGGTGAGGAAGGTGGGGAAGTATGAAGTTGGGAGAACGATAGGCGAAGGAACATTCGCGAAAGTGAAGTTCGCTCAGAATACAGAGACTGGAGAGAGCGTCGCCATGAAAGTACTCGATCGCTCCACCATAATCAAGCACAAGATGGTCGATCAGGTTTTGTTTCTGATCTCCATCCTTTTTTTCCATAGTTGCGTGTTCATGAAATTTGAATTTTCTGAGGTTAACCTAAATTCTGGAAAGCTTGTATGATTTTTTTGGTTGAATCTGAACTACTGATTCATATTTTCTGAATAATTCATGGCAATTATATCTGCAGATAAAGAGGGAGATATCGATTATGAAGCGTGTTAGGCATCCATTCGTTGTTCGATTACATGAGGTGAGGCTCGTAATCAAGAGCATCGGATTTAATGAGAGCAGTTCTCTGAAGAAATAGGGGAATTTTTGTTTCTTCCTTTTTCAGTATGTTCATTTTGGACCATTTCGAACAAATGCTAATTTTAACTGGATTTTTTTCCGATTAGGTTATAGCAAGCCGTACGAAGATCTATATCATATTGGAATTCATAACAGGTGGTGAATTGTTTGATAAAATAGTGAGTCCCCTTCACCTGAATAGTAGAGATTTTTCTGAACATTTTAAGGGAACATGATATTTAAAATTCTCTTACAGGTTCACCATGGGAGACTTAGTGAATCTGAATCACGAAGATATTTCCAGCAGCTCGTTGATGGTGTGGATTATTGCCACAGTAAAGGAGTCTACCACCGAGACTTAAAGGTGTTTTTTGGAGACTCGAGATTCGGGGAAAAAAAACCCGTATAACTATTTCGAAATTGAATATTTACTGTATTTTACTATATTGCAGCCTGAAAATTTACTACTCGATTCCCAAGGAAATCTTAAAATCTCTGATTTTGGGCTTAGTGCATTGCCTGGAGAAGTAAGATATTGGTTAATGTGCTTTATATACATATTTATTATGTTTTGATATAAGTTGGTGCTAATGACGGTTTATCTGCATAGGGAGTCAGCCTTCTTCGTACAACTTGCGGTACTCCTAATTATGTTGCACCAGAGGTAACTAACGGTCTTTGAGGTTTTATATAAGTGCAATATGAGAAGACGTAACTAACTCTATCATTTTTGGTTTTTAAATTGTAGGTTCTTAGTCACAAAGGCTACAATGGTGCTTTGGCGGATATTTGGTCATGTGGGGTCATCCTATATGTTCTCATGGCTGGTTATTTGCCATTTGACGAGATTGATCTAACAACATTGTACGGAAAGGTATTTAACCATAATCTTATGCTGATGCGTTTACGACATCTTTATGTTTGAGTTGTTATTGTGTCTAATGTTGTGCAAAAGAAAGTTGTATTTGAAATTATGTATCTAATGTTGTAAAAAAAAATTATTATCTTCGGCAGATTGAGAATGCAGAATTTTCTTGTCCGTCCTGGTTCCCAGTTGGAGCAAAATCCTTGATCCATAGAATTTTAGATCCGAATCCTGAAACGGTAAACTATTTGTCCATTATGATTATTGATTTTTTCTCTTATGTTCTATTAGTTTAACTCAGTGCCCAGCATATTATTTGAGGTGTTATGGCTGGACTTCTATCATTAAAATTTAACAGTCTTATTTGGGAAAACATGACGTTTTTTCAAATTCTGGAACTTGCCATATTTTGGAAAAAAATTGTATTAGGATTAAGCTTTTGGCAATTAAACATTCATGTGTAACCATGTAAATGTGCTTGATTTTTTTTATTTTTTTTTTAAATGCTAAACTCTCGCTGTTGTGGGGTTATTTTTGGTTCAGCGCATTAGAATTGAAGATATAAGAAATGACGAATGGTTTAAAAAGAATTACGATCCAATTAGACTCCCCGAAACTGAAGAAATTGATCTGGACGATGTTAATGCTGCTTTTGATGATCCAGAGGTCAGTACTGCACTAAGAACAAAAAATTTTTTTTTTTTCGGTTTTGCCTTGAAGCACTATATGAAGGCATTTCTATTTTATTTTTTAATTATTTAGTTTTTAAATTGGCCTTATTTAAAATGTTATGATGTAGGAAGAATCACCTAACGAGGAATGTGGGAATGATGACACGGGGCCTCTGGTTCTCAATGCATTTGATTTGATTATTCTTTCTCAAGGGCTAAATCTTGCTTCATTGTTTGATCGAAGGAAGGTAACATAAATTATCATCTCTCCTGTAGTTCTTGAATCAATGCTTCTGTGTGTCAAAATGTTGTTTGTACTCTAGATTTAATAATGAAGCTTTGTTTAATGTCTTCTCTGCTGCCTTAACAGGATTCACTGAATCATCGAACTCGGTTTGTTTCACAAAAACCTGCAAAGGTCGTCTTATCAAGTATGGAAGTTGTTGCGCAATCAATGGGTTTCAAGACCCACATTCGCAATTACAAGGTAAACTCTATATATATCAATGAATTAGCTTTATATATAACTTTTATTGGAGTTATTTGAATCATTTCTATTTCTTTTTAGATGAGAGTCGAAGGTCTCTCTGCAAACAGGGCTTCACATTTCTCTGTAATTATGGAGGTAATAAAAAAGTTATTTCTTCCTTCAATTCTTTATTTCACCATCCTTAAACACATCCCACTCTTTTTATTACCAGATATTTGAAGTTGCACCGACATTTATAATGGTTGATATCCAGAAAGCAGCTGGAGACGCCGACGAATATCTCAAGGTAATTTAACGCAACTTATTCTTCATTACTAATGATTTAAATTTGCGAGCAAATAATAAAAGAAAAAATCTAGTTTCTTAATTGCAATGGCGTATCAAGATTACGCATTCTCTTTTCTTGCAGTTCTACAAAAACTTCTGTAACAGTCTTGATGATGTTATTTGGAAGCCACCCGATGAAGTTTCTAAATCACGGGTTAGTAAGACGAAGAGTAGGCGGAGATAGTTCTGTGGTAACTTACTTCATCTATTCTCAGTTTATGTTTTTTCTGTACAATATAAATCATTTTTTTATGTGTGGGGCCCACGGGTTAGTTTAATGTTAACTATATGTGATTGTTTGTAGAACTAATTGTTTGGTTTTTGGTTTGAATGTAATGGTTTGCTTCGCCCTTTTATGATCATGTGTGATGGACTCGATTGTTTGTGTTATGATTAACTGGCTTGGAGTTGTGTGTTGCGCTATAGTAATATTCGTACTACGGTGCGTCGGATTTCTTTAAACATTATCATTGAACACTAAATTAAGCTAATTTCAAATCAACACTGAGGCCAACCACTTAATCCATTATTAGTAACTGCTTAACCAATGATCTAATTTGTTTAAGAAAGTTAAAACACGTGGACTAATTCGTCAACTACTTTCATGTATGATGTTGATAAAGTTAATCTTTCGGCGCAATAGAATCGTTTTTACACCAGCCTATGTTGTCAAATGTGACGATTCTAGGGAAATTAAACTCGTTATTTAGGACTCCTTATTTAAGTTCTTGTATAATCTTAACTTGTCTAATCCTATTTTAGGGTAGCTAAGGTTACTTGTGATCATTATTTTCGAGCCTATGATAAATAAATAATTTGCTAAAGTCACAACATTTTGTTCGTATTATTAGATAGGCCTTCAAGTCACAAATTTCCCTGAATTATGGGCTCTTTCTTTTCTCACTCTATGTATCTTTGGCAAAAAAATATTGCATATTTAGATGTACCTTTTCATGTTTTTATATCTTCATATTATTATTAAATATTCCGATGAAAAATATATTTTATTTTATCCAGGTTTTTATGATTAATTATGTAGTTAATTAATAATTTGGTTAGATCACAAAATATTTGTATATAATGAACTTCAACAGTTGTTCATAGTACTGCAGATGAAACAAGAAACATAAGAAAACATATATATTATTTTTGTTATCACTTTATCCATTTATATATATATAATAACCACTTATTTCTGGATAACAATAATAATGATGATGATGTTGAAATCATCAAAATTCGTACTTGAAATATCTCCTTGATAAACAATAATACACAGATTCAGGATCTATCCAATCAACCACACAAAAAAAAGAAATAAAAAAAATATTAATTAAATAAAAATGGATGCAACTAATTAATAAATATTGTTAGAGACACCTCCCAGCATATCCAGCATTTCTCAGCAGTGCCTGTTTTATGTCTTCTGAATCTACAATTCCCCTCTTCTTCAATTCCTGTATATGTCACCTAATTAATTAACAATTTTTTGTTTAAATAATATATTAAAAAAAATAAAAAAATAATGTAGTTGTCACCTCAGAGCAAGAAGCTTGGAGTGAAAAATCATGAAAGCAGCTGATAACACACTGTTTAATCTCAAGGCCTAATGCTTCTATTGTGTTAACTGTTGATACCAATAACCCTGCTTTCCCTCCACAGCACATCTCTATTCTTCTCTCTCCATTCTTTCTCTTTTCCACTTCAAACTATATATATATATATATGCATTTTAATTTTATTATTTTACATTATTATTATTCTAGTAAAAATAAAATTAATTAGAAAAATTAATGGTACCTTGGGTGAATTTCTAACAAGAACTTCATTAGGTTTAACATCCTTAAATATAGTCATTAAGCTTAATTGATTTGATCCCAAATGCATTTCTTGCTGCAAGTTGTTGATCCTCTCTAGCAGCTCCTTCATGTAATCTATGGTGTCCCCTAGTATAGATGTTCTGTCCATCTGAATACCCCACATGCATTAATTATCATTTTAACTATTAATTATGCAATTAATATTCTTGATTATAATTAATTAATTATGTATAAGTAGTTACCTTGCTTATCTTGGGGACAACTGATCGGAGCATGGAGAGGCGGTCGTTGAGGCGCTTCCTCCGCCGTCTCTCCGCCATTAGGTTTTTCGACGGCTGCCCGCCCAGTTTCTTCACTTTATTCTTTCTGGTGGTTTCACTCTGTTGCGTCTGTGCGCAAAACCCCATGTTGAAAGCCGGCATTTCGGGTACGGGTTCGGCTTTGCAAAACGGAGCCCCGGCTTCTTCGTCAATTAGTCCGAATAGGGCACCGTCTTCGTCATCGCCGCCAAGAATGGACGACATGGAGTAGTAATCTTCCACGTGGCAGTACGGCATTACTGTTTGGGTGTCGAGCGAAGAAGAATCGACTACGGCGAATTGATCGGGTGGCGGCGATTTGTGGTCTTCCCCAAACGGGGTGTAGCAATTATTCATCAGGATCTGATGGTGGTGATTGTGATCATCGATTAGAGGGGGCGGCGGCAGAGAGTAATCCTGGAAGCAAGTGTTGGCGGTGGTGTTTGTTAATGTGGACGCCGGCGCCGGAAAATTGTTGTCGTCGGCGAAATTGTAGTCGAGGCTCCAGCCGCCATTGTTGTTGTTGAAATGTTGATCTCCGTAGTTAATATTGTTATACTCCATCTCTCTTAGACCTAGCAACTCTTCCAAGAAACCAAGTTCTTCATTTGTGTGATACTCCATCTCTCTCTCTCTCTCTCTCTCTCTCTCTCTCTCTCTCTCTACGTGACAGACAGACACTAAAAGATGTTTGAGTCAAAATAATGTTGGAGCTTGTGATGCATTATATAGAGGAGCAAAACAATGAAAAAGGCTTTGTTTAATTACTGATTTAATTACATCATTAAACGTACATAATCATACATTAGTCATTATTATTATTATTACTTTTTAACCCCAATATACGAAAATGGTTTTCATGTGTGTAAAGGGTGATAATTATTTTAAATTCATTTTCAGGGGAAATAAAATAATAACTGTTATTAATAAATTGGAAGGCTCTGAAAACTTTGACCCACATTTCTGTCACTGCCGTAAAGGATGAACTCCCACCTTCATTATTTCCTAGACCTGTCAGCTTCTTTGTATTGCACAATTTTATATTTATATATATACTTGTCAATAATATCTATACATATATTTAGTACATATATGGACCACAAAAAAAAATAGTTAGATTAAATTTTGGATAATCTAATTTATAAAAAATAAAAAATAAATTACAAATTATTAGTTATAAACCAATGTCATCTTCATAGACATATATGATATAACCAATAACATTGCACCTATTTCAGCCCCAAAACATTTTACTAATTGTTACTTGTTAAAATTAAAAATAAGAATAAAATTAACAAGTCTAAGTTTTTGTTATTTAAATAAAACTTTCCATTAAAATAATAATTTGATTGGGTCCCTTGGAAAATACCTTTACGTTTTGGCTGAGCTCAGAATTTCAACTGAGTTGGTGGGCCTTGTTTGTTGTTACATGTAACATTTTTTTTTAATATTTAGATAATTAATTCCTTAACAATTTTA